AGTTTCATTAGGTAAACACTTCAAAAAGTATTGTGAGATCGTTAATTTATTTCCTGCAAATGTATATTTATTTTTTCATTATAGAGAGGGCCTGATTTTCTCAGGTGCCATAATGCTCAAAAAACAAAAAAAGGAATGAGTCATGACATCCTGGAAGATAACACATGTAGTTTGTAAAATACAAGGGAAAACTATCATTTCCAAGCCACTACAGCTGTAGAAAACATACTAAATAAACTGCAAAAGGAAAACATCAATTTCAAAATCTCAGATTGTTCATTGACTTATTGAAATAGAACAAGAAAGTCAGAGATAACTTTAGAGTAAGGACAAGAGATGAATAAACAACCTTTTCAGATCCCAAGTGGAGACAGAGTTGAGTAACTCTAACAAGACTTGACATATCTGAGGGTTAAAGGGACATTAAACCCTGGAGGCCTCATTTTTTTCAATCCTTGAAAGCAATGAAGTTCGATTGGAAAAGTCATGTTGATTTTGTTTATTCTGTTCTTGTTATGTTTTTTCCATTTGAACTACATTTCTGACATTAACATACACTACATTTTTCTCATTGTTGTTGTCAAATCCAATTTCAAGCCTAAGCTATACATTCTGCCCACATTAAATAAGCTGTACAGATCACATATAAGGACTGTTTCTTCAGCAAGAAATAATAAATGTCAAACTCATAACCCTGAGCTTTTGTTTTTTCCTTTTAAAGGTAAAGAACATACTTGAAGACAGCATAATAGTTTCAGGCAGAAAATGAGTAAACGTACATTCATTGACATTGTATATATAGAATATGCAGGACACGAGAAAGCAATGACAGGAGAATAGCTATAAATGAAGACTGAAACCAATATACAGGTCGATCACTACAATAAAATAATCTTTAAGTAAAAGTATTTTAAATAAGTGCTACATTTCCTTAGTTCCAACAAGTCTAGATTTACATACACATTTTAAAACATGAAAGCAATAGCTGTGGCAGTACTCCTTCACCTATCACTGAATTACATCCAGCTCTGGAGTGTGATCTGAAAGAAATTTGTAGAGGAAAAAGAAAAGATACACAGCAAGAAACTGAATGTGCACTGCATTATTCAGAAAGGCAAAAGGTAAGCTGGAGCAAGGTTAAGGCTGGGTTATCAATCTCAGGCCTTCTGCAACTTTTGTCCATGGACAGAAGCAGTGTTTGGTTTATGCAGCACAAACCAGAGTAACAAGTGAATTCACAATTAAATAATTTCAATGTAGGAAATAAATCCTATAGATCACAGGACAGAAATTAAAAAACAGGAGTTGGTAAGATTTTTTGTGAGCAATAGCTGTATAAAGCATGTCTATATATTTCAGGCACTAAGTTCAGCAGCAATACCAAGAGAGGGGTATTAAACCTTCAGAACCATCATGGCTAGGCTTTGCAAATGAAGATTTGAGTAGGCAATTAGGGCAGAACTATGCTCAGGACGTCCGCTATCCGCAGAATCGAGCATGGTTCTGATGTTCCAGCATGCTAGAGTTAATTTGGGTACACCTTTGGAGGCAGGTGTATATGCCTTTGTTTTTTGATCTTTGTGTGACTGCATTTGTAAAAGATGTCGCTACAGGGCTTTGAAAATGTGGGTAAGGCCTTCGAGCCTGCGCAATGGATTTTTTAGGTGAGACGCAGTGTGCACAGAACTGAACCCACCCTTTAATCCTAAAGTTCATCTGCCAGGGCCCAGCGAGCTTGGACAGTAAACCTTCAGAACAATCCTCTGTCAGTCCTCAGCCTTTTCATACCCTGCTCATACCTGTGAGCTTCTTTACTGAAATGTCAAAAGCTGTCACGATACTGCCAGCAGGATCGTGAATCTTTGATCTTGTTTCACCTGTTCCCCATTTGTTTTTTCATCTTCACATAATCCATCACACACACAAAATACTCTCCACCCCCTCTTCAATACTCGGCCCTTCATCCCCCTTCAGTATTCCTCTTCTTCCCACCCACTAGGATTCTCTTTATGCCTTCCCCTTCAAATTCCTTGCTAAAATTCACACTTTTCATGATATTGTTCCACTTTCTTCTTACTGATATTCCTCAGCATCCCTTTCTCTTTTGCTTTCTAAGAGATTTTGCTCAACAAAACCCCTTTCTCCTTACCTTCCCCACAAACACCACCACAACATACACCACAACAGAGAGACTCGGTCACACTAGCTAAGCTCTAGAGGTCCTGAGATCAGTGCTTGAAAATCTGCCCGACTTTCTGAAACTTACTACCGTATCAAATTTTAACAGCCCAGCTCTAAGCTCTTGAGCATCCCCTAACACTTATCTTTTATTTGCACAGCTGTTTAACTCTTAAAAGACCAAGGGTGAGCTGCACTACCAGCGGCATTACCAAACAACGGGAACCTACAGTGCAGCAGTTGAGATATCCTGCCTTATTACATGCTTTTTGAAATCTAAACAAAATCTATCCTATATATTAAAAATGAGATTATACTAAGTGAAGCAGAAAGATGCATTAAATTGCTTTATTTTCCAGTAAATTCTGAATAATTATGAGAGCCCAGATAACTTAATTAATGTTGGAGACAATAACAATTTGACATACTTGAGAGGTAAACATTGAGAACCAGGTTGATGTGTCTGCCTGATGTCTGCTTATTGCTTTTTCTTTAGTTTTTTTTTCTTCAGGTTTACCCTGCAATTAGTTGTGTTTCCACGCAGTACATCATAATTTTCACCACATATTTTCCATGCAGAAACTACTCTTATTCTCGTCTTCAAGCAGATAAGAAAGGAATCTATTAATCTAACAGATGGGTGAATAGAAGTATTAACAGCACACTACCGTGCAAGCAAATAAAAATACGAGCAATTCCCTTAAACACGGGGAGCTCTTGTTTTAAACCAAGAATTTGCCTCGAAGCTTTTTTAGTCATTAAATTGGCAGCAGTCAAGAAACGGGGGAGGAAAGGTAAGGAAAGCACTGAATCAGGTCAGTTCCAACCAGCAGCTGGAAAGGCCAGAAGCGAACGCATTCCCGTACCCCCGTGGGGCTCCAGCTTGCAAGAGCCCGGCCAAGGCAGGTACATCCCCGAAGCAAAGCTGCAGCTGACAAACTTTTGCAGCTCCGCGGAGTCAGACGGAGCTACAGTCCTAGCCCCGGTGCTGGCTCTCCTGCCGGAACACCCGGCCCCCACCAGGCTCCCCCCGCCGCCAGCTCAGCCCCACGCGGGGTGCCCGCTCCGGACACGCGGGGCGGGGAGCGGAGCCCCGGCCGCCGCGGCAGGACGTGCCGAGGGTTGCGGGCTGATCCCCCGGGAAGGGTTGTCCCCCCGGCCGGGAAGGGCTATTCCTCCCCTCCGGGAGCGAGTGCGAGGGTTCGCCCCCCAGCTCTCCGTTCGCTCTCCACCCGCCTCCCCCGGAGCGAGCCGGGGGCGCAGCGCCCGGCGCTGCCGGGACAGGGAACGCCGGCGGCTCCGGCTCCTGTCCCGTGGCGCAACCCTCTCATCCCCCCATCCCGTCCCGTCCCCGCTGCCGCGGGGCGAGCGACGCGACGCTTTCCGCAGGCAGGGACACACGGACCCGCCGCCGGCCGGGCGGGAACCGCCGCTCTCCGGAGTTTCCCAGGACACTCACCAGCGGAGCTCATGGTACTCCCCAAGCGCCGCGCCGCGCTCCCCTTCATCCCTTACGCTACGGCCCCTCTGAGGGCCGAGGAGAAGGAGCCCATTGTTTCCCCGCGCCGCCACCCAGCCGGAGCCGCAACAGGAGCAGGAGCAGCTCCCCCTCCGCTGTGGCGCTGCCTCATCCCGCCCCGCGGCTCCGGCTCAGCCAGCGCCAGCCGCGCCACCACCGCCCAGCGGCGCCCCCTGCCGGGCCGCGCCCCGCCCGCCCCCGCCCCGACCACCAATCAGCACCGCCCGTAGGCGGCTCCCGCCGTGCCTTCCGGGAGCTGTAGTTCGTCCCTGCGCCAGGCAGCTCTCGGCAGGGCGGGGCGGCTGGCGGCGCGGCGGACTCGGTTTCCCAGCGTGCCCGCGGGGAGGGGGTGGCATGGCGGGCAAGGATGACACCGGAGTTCGACGAAGAAGTGGTGTTTGAGGTGGGCGCGGGGCGACCCGGCGCGGGCTGGGCCCGGGTCTCTCCGCCCCTCGTTGCGCCGCGGCCCGCGGGGGCGGCGTGCGCCGGGCGGGTCGGGGTGGCCGCGGGCCGT